ACAGATATGGGACCTGCTGAAAGAGGGTCTTCCTCTCCTCCGTCTTGTTCAAATCTGCGCTCTGCTTTCTGATTGATGGCACCTGCTCATCATAATGCTATCCGCTGGAATCTGCATACCAATGATCCCAGTTGCCTATCGATTCACCCCTCATCTTCCCAACACACACCCTTGAGACTGATACACACACACATATACACACATCCCCTCTCTCTTTCTCGCTGCCTCTCTCCCTCCCCCAACTACTGTCATTATAAAAGTCAGCAGCTGCTGCATGCATTGATCATAAATCATAATTGCTTGTCCATTTATCCCCACTTGTTTAATGTTGCTGTCAGGGACAGTGGGGGGGAGAAAAGGGGAAGGCGGAGAAAGGAAGAGAGGAAGAAAAACCCAAAGAAAGTTTAGTGCGACAGAAAGATGAGAAATAAAAAGAGCTGACTGCGAAATGGAGGAGTAAAGGAATGAGGTAGTAAAAAGTGAGAGATATAGAAAGAGAGGATGTGACAGAGGGAGTGGAATAGATGTGGTGGTGTGTAAGGTAAAACTGCAGTATTTTTAAGAATGCGTTTGATAGGAACAATTTTTAAAAGAAAGACGGAACCACGTCTTTAAACATGATATTCTCTTCACAGGCCCTTCAGCTCAGTCGGCTTTCTAGTGGCCATTGGAGGAACTGCAGTTTAAAACGACGCAACATTTAGCTATTGTGGTTTCCCCTTTAGAGAAGCATTGGAAGATATTTTTTTCCTTTTTAAAATGTTTTATTATTATTTAATAATCGTTCGAAATGATTGTCTTAATGATAATGGTAAATCCCCGCACTCTTTCATCGTATTTTTACTGACTGACGCTGGTGAATTGCCTATAAGGTTTTGTCTTGAAATAAATACCACTCAAATTATTACTATTGAGAATCATTCCATTCTTATTATAGATATGTGAAAGATTGCATAAGAAGAAACAAATCAGGACACAAACTTTTTTTGAAGAGAAGGCGGCAGTAAAGAAAATGGTGTTTAGGAAATTAAATCCACGGTGGCTTCCAACTCACTCACCATATCCTGAGTCCTGTTGGCACTTGGCTCGGCATGGTATGAAAACATGAAAGCTTTTACGGTCACCACACTCATAGGAATAGTGACATGTACATACACTGCCCTCTCTGCTGCAGACTCCACAGCTGGTGGTGGATTTGAAAGACCTTTAACCTCTACCCACAATCTCCTCTCTGGCTCGGACACAGACGAATGAAACACAGATAGACTGAAACCCGGTTTCGAGCAGACACAGACTCAAGGGACTTCTGTGTCCCATTTGTGTCCCTGACTGAGTTCAGTTTCTGCCTCTGATGTGCCCTTGATGCCTCCTCTTAAAGCTGGTATAAATGGATCTTGTTTAACGTTTGGAGTATGATTGTCCCACTGTCTGAGATCTGTGAAGAGAGACTGATGGAGAAAGCGAGTTGAACCACTTTCCAGAAATGAACACAACATCTGTGACAGCCCCTTTGTGTAGATAAACAGAGCTACGGACGAGGTTTTTATTTGTTCCTGGTTGGCCTCAGTCTGACTTTGAGTCGTCTGGGCAATCCTGAACTCTCATTTTAGAATCATCTGAGTGGAAAAAGCCTCCAGGGGCCTTTATACTTTTTGATAGAATGGAAAGTATCTTTACACACAAATGTACACACACTATCATTTAGTCTGTGACTTTGTTTTTCTCTTTCTTTGGACCAATTTCGGACTTTTTTACAGTGTTATTTTGATCTGTTAAGGTATAAAGCTAAAGAAATAAGACTGTGTGCCATTTCTCTCTATATATCCTTGATTCGTTCTCATTCTCTTTCATCCATCTTGCTTCCCATCACTTGTGTGATAGAAATGATAGATTGGTGTGACTTAAATTCAGCAAAACTGCAATAGTACTAATAGATCAATCCCTATCCATGCTGCTCCTAAGCATATTGCTCCACCCCATTAGGGTGATACACTACACTGTTCTGGATCTCCGCTGCTGGTATTGTGCAAGCAGCTGCTTTATTGAGCACTCTGCTGACATCCAGCCCAGCATTTCTGCACCGCAAGGGGAAACTTTGGATGACATGTAAAAGCAGGGGTTTCGGTGCGACATGCCTCAGTAATGGGATGGAAACAGGGGTGCACCAGAGAGGGGGGAAAATGCTACCGTAGCTAACTGCAGGTATTGGGGGTGGGGTTGGGGAGGGAGGAGTGTCTCTTCCAGGCTGCTTCCAAAGCAAATGGAAGACAATCCAATTTCCTGTGATTCCATCAAGCCTGCGTCCTGGATCCAGGGGCATTAGGGAACGCTGAGAGGACAGGGCGCTGACCCCTCATATGAACATGCAAGAAGCATGTAGGCTGCACACATACACCGGCATCCTCACAAACATGCACATGTTCAGGCAACAACACTGTTTGTCAGAATTTCTTTTATTTCTTTTATTTTTTTTTTTGCTTTCAGGATTATTTTCATTGTCGATTAATTTGCTGATTATTTTCTTAGTTATTTGATTAGTTGTTTGGTTCATAAAATGTCAGGATGATGAAAAATGTTTTTTCACAGTTTCCCAGAGCCTAGGCTGAGCTGATGTCTTCAGAGGTCTTGTTTTTCCTGACCAACAGTCCATAAGCATATTCACTTAACAATGATATAAAACAATAGAGAAACAAAACAAAAATGGTCAAATTTGAGGAGCAGGAACAAACAAATGTTTGAGTCATTTTTTATACAAAAATGATAAATCAATTATCAAAAGAGTTGCCGCTTCATTTTCTATTGATATCATTAATATCATTCCAGCTCTAGACTCACTGCGCCATAACTATCTCTATTGCTTGTGCATTGTCAGTCACTCATTCTTGCTTTTGTGTGAGTGCGCTTGTTGAGCAACTAACTGCAGATTAACGCTTGCTGCAGATTAGGTTTTAGGCTTAAACCCCTTACACTTTAATTATAACTGTATGTATTTATGTGCATCAAGGTCTTTCACTTGGCCCCGTCTGTAAACATCTGTCACTGTCCCATTGTGCCAAGTGTGTTTGTGTGTTTGTGTTTTATGCAGTAAAATAAAGAGAAAATTAGTCAAGTATATTTTTTCCTCCTTCGAGAATTCCCCCTTTTATTTTTACAGAAAATGCCTGGATGGTGAAAGTTTTACCTGCTCAGCAGTTGTATCTTAATTTGTCAATTTCAGTTCTGCCCACTCTTCTCTAGACTCAACATCATTGCGAGAGACAGACACACAGCCGCAGTACATCACAGGTTGTGATTTCGACTCGCAGACAGACAGCATTGTTGTCCACGCTGGTGGCGATTTGCATCTGTGCTCTGTGATCCATCCAGAGGGAATAGAAAGCTCTAATCCAATCAGCAGGTCCCTGAAGTGCTGCCCCTGAGAGAAAGAGAGGGAGAAACACAACAATAGGATCGCTCTGCGCTGGGCCTAGCCAGAGAGGGAAGACGGGAAAGGGACGAAGGAGGAGAGGGGAACGAGAAGGAGGGATTGAAAAGGAAAAGGGATCAAGATTGAAGAGGAGACTGAGCGGGAAAGAGCGAGAACAGGTGTATGTGGTAATGAAAGGAGGGAGATGAGGGAGGTGTGGTTTGGAGGTCAGAAGAAACAGAAGAGGAAGGATTGGTAGAAAGTAGAGGAAGGACATGGAAGTAAGCACAACAGGAAGGTGCAAAAGAGGATCTGCTCTTATAAGGGCAAAGGTGAAAAAGACTAATGATTAATTTCACCATAATAGTTTCAGTAATTTGAAAGTATTTCCACTGCAGTGACATTTCACAGCATGGAAGCAAATGTCACTGCGCCTGCTGGCTTTTAATCTGCCTCTGAACATCTGAAGCCATTGTACTTGGCTGAGCAGCTGCTCTTGTTCTTAGAGTGGAGGCAACAGTTTGACCATTTATCATCATTATGAGGTGCAAAGGCAGGCTTGAGCAGTGATTAAGAAGTGAATCTCCTGTTGATGATGCCTGTCATATATTGTGTCTTGTACCTGTACAGACACAGACACACACACACATACACACACACACATTTCCCTGTCCCTGTCCCCAATCCAACAATTCTGATAAGAATTATATCTTTAGCATTGACCCCTTGACCCCAAGTATGATTTTTATGGTTCAAAGGACACGCACACGTGCACATACACTCACACACACATGTGCACGTCTTCACTCTATTGTCCCCGAGCTGTTGTGTGTCAGGGTCACAAAGCCTCGTTAGCCACATAGTTCATTCATTTAAAGGAAAAGGCTGGAAATATTCAGTATTTTTTTTCTTACCGTCAACAACTCTCGTGGAAAGACCAAAAATCACAATGAACTGACTCAAGATTATGAAGAGATATTCTTCCTGTTCTGCTGAAACAGCACTGTTGGTTTCTTTTTCCTGGGATGAGTTGACAACAACAACATGTGGAGTAACACCAGCCTTATTCTTTTAGACTCTCTAAGACTGAGACCATCTAGTTTCAGCTCTTACCACAACAAGTGTCGGGTTTTGCTGACACGGGTTGAGTTGCATGTCGGTGCTAACACTGGTTGGGTGTTGGGTGTTCAGATGTGGTGGAGTCATCCTCACTGCGATATGTTGAGTTTTATTAGCTTGTTGTTTCAGGTTGATCAGAGCTGGAACTCAACTGCAAGTTGGAAGGTTTGATTTGCAGGTCACGTGTTGCTCAAATCAATATCTCATCTTCTCATGATCCCCCTTTGGTACAATGAAAACATGGCACCCTTTGTCCACAGCTCACACGTCGGAGGTAATTGGTATTCTAGCAGCTGAAGGTTTTCCTGTTGGCTCTTGGAAGTATGATCAAAGTAATTTGCAATTTCTCTGACAAATGCTGGAGATATATATATGTTTTATTCCTGATACTATTCGATTTTGCACTCTCCAGAATATTTTATTCTTCCCCAGTCACAGGCCTGTTGAGTTAAAGACTTGTTATTGTCTTTTACAGGACAATGAAGGACAGACAGCGCTACATTATGGTAAGGAGGCCTCTCTTATTAATTTTTACAGTCCAAAATGTTACACACTCACTTTCAAAAAAACAGAATTTATTTTCGGCTTGTTTTTTTATACACGCTCTTCGCCCACATTTGTCCCAAATTTGTCATTTGTCCCTCCTCTTCCTCCCACTCTCTCTTCCATTCCCCCTCTTTACTTTCTACACTTGGTTTTAACCCAGTTTCTCTCATTCCTCTCTGTTGTATCCTGTGGTTGCATGAGTGTGTGTTTTTGTGTCCTTTGGTATGCATGTGTGCACGAGCAGATGCCTGTCTGTTCTACGTGTGTGTGTGTGTGTGTGTGTGTGTGTGTGTGGGTGTGTGTGTGTGTGTGTGTGTGTGTGTGTGTGGGTGTGTGTGTGTGTGTGTGTGTGTGTGTGTGTGTAAAATAATCGCCCGGCCTCCCAGAGGAAATCAGCAGTGGTCCTTAGACTCCCCTGACCCTCTCATGCCCCAAAACACGTGTCCCTGAGGGGCGGTTCCCCTGTCCTCTGAGCTTCTGTGTGTGTGTGTGTGTGTGTGTGTGTGTGTTTTCATGTATGTATGTGGTGTATGTATGTGTGGGTGTGTGTGTGCTTGTATAGCGGTACCATCTGTCTCCCAGCTTGGTGGCATTGGAGTGGGTATGTTGCATCACCCACCATAGACACACACACACACACTCACACTCACACACACACACACACTCAGCAGAGGAAGCCCCGAGGATGGGGCATAAAAAGATGACTAATAAACATAAGCGATGAACTCCAAGAGACAAATAGCAGAGAATGAAAATTCATTCCCACCTCTCTTTGCACAGGGCCACAGTGGCTGGCAAGTGATTAATTGAGGGTTTACTGCTCACCATAAATTGTTCTCCTCCTCTATGGCTCCCCTGAGGGCCAGGCACTTTTTACAGCTCAAGGCCCAGGCGAGACACCTGCTGCCACACACACACACACACACACACACACACCGCTGGCTAAATAAAACACTGTTTAGATCAACAAGAGGAGGACTGCAAGCGTGGCTGGAAAAATAAGCCAAGCTTTGTTAGCCTGATTTGGCTGAAAGATAAGTGATTCTTGTAGGGTTTGACTCTTCCACACGTCGTACTATTCATAGACACAACTCAAACATGCGCACACACACTTGCTTACACACTCGCATGGATTCCGATGTATCATCATATCTCATGCATACACACACACACACTCCCGCCAGCCACCCCTGGGCTGGAGGTTAAAAGGCCCGGCTGTCAATCACTGCGGCTGCTGACATCAGCGATCATGGCGCAGCACAGAGTCTGCTCTTTAAAAGGAGTGAGCGAGTGACACCGACAGAGGAGAGCACTCAGAAGGAGAGAGGATAGGGGGGGTGGGAGGTGCCAGAGGGGCGAAAGGTGCATCGGGAACGCAGGGACCCACTAACTGGGTTAAGAAAGTGCAAGCCCCCCCCCCCATACAGAGAGAGAAGACCCTTTTAAGCACGGCACAAATTGCCAGTGGGGCAGAAATGAAGTGTTTGAGGGAACCATGGGTCCGGGCCAGTGTCAGTACTGGACATGCAAATGGGCTTTTCATTAACTGCAGCACTGTATACACTGTACTACAGTATGTAGAAGAAAGGAAGGAGGCAAATTTATGCAAACCTGGTACACACTATTATAAGGGTCTGAAAAGAGCTCCATCATATAGTTGAGATATTTCCGTTTGGACCAACGTGGTGGACAGTGCCGTCCGCAGAGCCACACCAAAAGCATGGCTTAAAAAGTTAAATGTCTGCCCTTTGTCAAGTAACTATTTTAATCTCTCTCTCCTTATTTCTCTTCTCCCTGTTATTCCTCTCCTTCTAACTTGTCCTTTATTTTTGTCTCTTCTTTTCATAGCATCTGCATGCGAGTTTGCCGACATCGTGGAGCTTCTGCTGAACGCTGGAGCCGACCCGTCCATCAAAGACATGGAGGGCTCTCTCCCTGAGGAGGTCACTGAATCCAGCGCCATCTCCTCTCTCCTGCGCCAGTACACTGCTCCGAAAGGCTAGATCACCTGTATCTGCCCACCACCCCTGTCCCAGTCTCATCCCCTGCTCCACTCATTCACCTCAGCCTTCCCATCATCCCCCTGTCATCCCTGAAGAGACTCTGTTCAACCCCAATGGTTAGTAGACCAGGATTGCAGATGTTTTATTTGATTTTGTTTCCAAATGCTTGTGGTGAGTTTGATTTCATTGTCTTGGCTTCTTGGAACTAAGGGTTTAAACATTACCCCTCCCATTTGATAAGACACATGAAATGAAATACACTGCATGTATATTGACTGTATGTGCCCAGTAGGGGTGGGTGATATGATGAGTACTGTGAGACGATAGAGCTCTGTCAGCTGGTAGAGACTTTGCTATTCTGAGGTAGCTATACCTTTAATTATCTCTTGTTGTATAAGACCTTTGCAGACAATATTGCAAATCAATGAGCAGGACTGCTTATGGGCAATATTAGAATGACAGGATCTGTGCATCTATGTGATGACGTATCTGGTTTTGTCAGGTATTTAAGTCACTGGAGTAACCAAAAACAAGACATTCCCATCCACTTATTTTATCCATAAATGGTATAAAATTCCAGCAAATTCATGATATCACAATATTTATTGTTATCGCGATATAAAATGATGTATGGTACATCGCAAAAGAAGATTTTCTGCATATCGCCCACTCCTACTGCCCAGGCCTGACAACCAGCCAGGCCTTTTACTCTGGGTCAACCCTCGACAGTTTACATTATTGCAGGTTTGTTTATGATTCAGTTGAGTTACGTTCAAAGGAATGCTCTAATCATCTGACATATATCATCATTAAAGTCTTCAACAAATCTGCTTCCTCTGACTTTGTGATCTCTGCTCAGATATGTTATTGACTTTAGCCATCAATCATATCATACTGTAACATTCACTGTTTTACCTCAGTCTATATGTATGTATATACTGCTGCAGCGATCTCACCACAGTGACCACCACAATAAACCTGAGCCTAACATAGATTAAACACAGATTAATTTAACTGAGTCAAATGATGGGCAATTCTCGCTACAACTCAAAGATCAATATTAAGTATTACAACTATTACCGTAAATACAGTTTAAAAATACTGATTATTTATGATAACCTTTAATAAAATAAATTGTGTGTTAGTGTGCTTTACAAGAAGTCTGTTGAGTCATGTGAACCACCTACTGCCAAGCAGGCAAGGAAAAGACACTTAATGTATGAAAATAGAGGAAAACCTTTATAGGATCCCAAAAGGACATCCCTACAACACTGATGGCTTAATGATCAAAAGCACATCAGGGAAATCTATTAAACATGGCAAAATATACCAGCAGAAGAAGACTGATTTCATATGGTTTATCCTACCATACAAATACTGGGCTAATAGATAATGGGCTCCACCAATACAGTGTTGAAATGATAGACTAGCACCAACTAATCCTCCTTCACATTAAAAACATGATACGCAACTAAAAAGTATAATGGAAAATGAGAGATAGTAAAAATTAAATATATTGTACATACTGTACCTGCGTACATGTTCTTGTATACATATGCATAAATGTACAGTATTGTATACAGGTAAATGCATACACACATACAACATTCAATATTGTTCTGATATTTATAATTTAGAGTTTGTGAATCATCTTCAACATAGTGTACATACAGCACTGCTCTCTAAAACCTGCCTCTGTACTGTTATGTCATAAAGGAGAGAGCTGGATGTTCTCCAAAAATAACCAACTCATGGTCTGAGTCCAAATCTGCTTTGCTTGTCCTCAAGCCCCTCTGATCAGCACATTCTCTCCGCCTCGGCTCACACACACACACAAACACTAAACCAGATGAGAATACACTAAATCTGGATCCTGGTTCTTAACGACAGCTCCATGAAGATGCAAATGCACATTTTGTACACAACAGTGAGGACAAAGCTTAATCCTTTACTGTCTAACACACACTGCCTTGCTCCACGCCGGCCCTCATCCCCCAACGTTTTACTTAAAACGCTGGAAATCTGCTTTGACACAAGGCGTTAGATAACCGTCTCAACATGTCTGGTTGCAGCCTGTCAGTCACTCACAGATCTATGACAGCAGTAGATGGTCTACGCGGTATTGGTAGTCATCACCAGGGGCACCGCTTCTAATTCAATCTTTGTCTTGACAGCTGTTGTACAGTACTTGTAGTGAATTGAGATGCAAGTGAGCTGTGCAATACATGAGGTGAATTAAAATCTCTCCAGATGATGTCTATAGCTGTACCCATGTCCTGCTCTTCCCTCCATCACAAATCATATAAGAGAAGAGGGCTGGGAATTTTTTTTTTTTTTTTTCAAAAGTATCATCATTCACTTTTGTAAACTCCAGCTATGGAGCCTTCCTCAATGAAATCTTTGGCATCTCCCCTCATGAATTTTGACTAGGAACCCTGCATGAGTTGAGAGCAAACCTTTTGAGTATTCAACCTGAGTCTGAGACGTGATGCGCTACAATCCCACAAAGAGACAACCAGTGACCATCTCATTGTTATGAATTCCATCCACATCCAGCCATTAGGCTGTTGGTGTATCTCTAAAGCCTGTTTGGGGCCCGGTGTTGTCTCCCCGTTGCTTCTTAAACCCCGTTATACTGGCTTGAGGTAAGAGAGGGTGACGGCAGTCGTGCTTCCCCCCCGGCTCGTCTGCAAGACTCTGACACTAAGCCCATTATGCTTCCATTATGGGGCTTCAATTTTCCTCTGAGCTTTTCGCTTTTGACACTGCAGCTCCCTCCATCTCTAAACCGCAGACACACACACCCCCAATTTTGTTCAGCCGTTCTGAATATTTATGCATTTTTCAGAGGTGAAAAGTAATAAACTACGTTTACTTGAGCAGTAACTTCAGTTTTCACGTTCCAGTACTTTGCTTGAGTGCTTCTATTTTCTGCAACTTTATACTTTCACTGCACTATATTTCTATCAGTGTGGCTCTTTACTTACTAGCAATTCTTTACAGTGTTCCTAAGCATTGCTTAATTTCAACTAGAAGCACATTAGCAAGGGTTTATACACCATATTTCATTTAATTTAATGAACAAAACAAAATAGAATATGATTCCCACAAAAAGCCAAATTTTTTGGGGAAGTGTTCTGTTTTGTATTTTGGGAGAGGGTCAGTGTCTGTCTCATGGACAAGAAGAGAACAGTGATGGGCCTTTTTCACAGCAGACATTTTCCTTCTATGACGAGTCAAAATGTCTACTGTGTTAAAAGGCTATTAATGGCCGGCCTATATAACCACCAGAGCTATAGCCATCCAAACTTTGAATTATGGCACATCATCATCTTCCTTTTATGTAAGTAGTTAAGGGCCTTGTACACCTGTGGTCTCACTTATTGTGCCTAATTAGACCTCTACTCTTTGATTGACTTCCCTCACACTCTGTTGGCTTTGTTGCACTTGCTATGGCGAGACAACATACTGTATCATTCTTACTGGTTCATGTGGTTTGTTGTCCTCACATAGATCCCACCAGAGCTCCATCCAACTCAACCTGAACAGAGGCCTATTCAGTCACAAGTGAAAACACATGTGAAGGTGTGATGGGCCTTGTAAATTGTCGACATACCATCAGTGTTATATTCACCCTAAACACTGTTAATTATAAACTTTTTAATGCAAAAAATGAACATATTGAATATTAAGTATTTCACAGTATCTTGTTGGTTTGGAGTAAGATCAATACTTATACCATACCTATGAAAACATGTAAAAAAAGGCACTTGGCATCTTTGGATACAACTTTCTCCACCCCACGTTGAACAGTAAACATATTGTCTCTGCATATGTTCAAATAGATATGTAATTAGGAGATGATAATGTTTTATCACTTGTCGCCTTGGTGTTCACATTCTCACATTTACCTGAGAAAGCACATTTGTAGTCACAACTGTTGAAGTAATTCAGTTGGTACAGAAATGAGACACCAAGGAATCGAGACACATCTGCAGACAGCTGATTATAAACTGTTACTGTTATGATAATGTATACAGTGTAATATGATATCCTGAATATAATCAAAACCAGGGTAAGAGTCAGAACAGGGTTATTAATGTGCATGTGAATGTACTCACTGAGACACCTGAGTGAGTATTTTCTATTGTCTCTAATGCATGTTTGTTACCTAGCACCTGTGTGTGTGTGTGTGTGTGTGTGTGTGTGTGTGTGTGTGTGTGTGTGTGTGTGTGTGTGTGTGTGTGCACGCCTCTTAAACAATTCCTCCAGAGATCTCTCCTCCATCTCTCCCCCTTACCACTCTAATCACTCCTCTCTTCATCTCTCCCTCACCACTGTCTTGCACACTGCCTTTCTCTTCTTTTACCTCTCCTCTCCTTTCTCTCTCCTGTAAAAGCAATACCATGTCGTTGCTTTGGTCAGCTCTTAACGCAACCCTCTAACCCCCCCAACACATACACACACACTCTTCTTCCTCCATCTTCTCTTCATGTTGCACCACCCTACCTCCACCAACACACACACACACACACACACACACACACACACACACACACACACACACACACACACACACACACAGCGAAGCTGAGAACCCAACAAGTAAGCAGAAATCCCACTGCTCCTGAAACGCTTCCCACTAATATCAGAAAGACTCATTTACTGGTGTGTGTGTGTGTGTGTGTGTGTGTGTGTGTGTGTGTGTGTGTGTGTGTGTGTGTGTGTGTGTGTGTGTTTGTGTGTGTATGCGTGTGTGTTACTCCAAGGCTCAGCTCTCATGCTTTATGTGTAGTTGGTGATGAGCAAGTGTTTCTGCTATCCGCTGACACTGACCCGAGCTTTGGACTTCAGATAAGCTAACAAACAGTAAAGAGTCTAGTTGGCACAACTATCTGCGTCATATATATTAACTGAAACCACAAGAAAACTACAATGGAGGCCTTCATCACAATAAACACCTGATTATCACTACAGCATTAGTCATAGTTTCTTCAGGGTCACGAACTCTCCTCCTTTGGTTACCTGTCATGTATCTGATACCTACAGCAGGATGATTATCGAGTGGAAAAGCCCCAGTTTCACATTAAAACAGCATTGAGCTCCCAACCTTGAGGGTGTCATTGAGAGGCCTCTGCTTGACTCCAGCCCCTCTTTAAGACTCACTCCGTCATCCTGCGGATCATTGTTCACTGCAGGCAGCATGGAGTCGTTTGGGGAGAAAAATGCCCTGTCTTGATGCTGCAAGATTGACTTTCAGGCCAAAACAAATCCTATCTATTTTGCATGTTAATTTATTCCCTTTCGCTTGAGATGAAAAAAAAAACTGTTTCCTTCAGGAAGTTTGTAATAAAAGCCCTGCGATCGATGATAATGGCATTTGTGCTTGTGTTTGTCATCTTCGCAAAAGCAACAGTGGTGGAGTTTCCACAGATTTATTTGTATACTAGTGCTGTAAGTGGCGTGTAAATTATCCTAACTGTCCGTGTGGCTCTTTATCTTTGTAAGGCAGTACTATTAGAGCCTATCCATTAATGCCCATAGCGCAGCCAATCAATGCTTAAATAAAAATCAGCTCAATTTGTGGCGTTTTATGCAAACGTGCAAACTCCAACCAGGCTGACTCTTTGCTTTTTGTTTTTATAATGCAACAGGAATAGCTAAAACACAAAGGAATCGATAACACTTAAGTTTGGGTTAGGTTGGCCTGCTCTCAGACAAATGCTGCACATTGCTGCATACAAATGAGTTTCATACAGATGTACACTGTGGTGTAATTTCATTATAATTCTGTACATGGTTAGCCAACGCCATAGTTAAAGGGAATAAATCCACTGTAACCTGTGAGGGTTTAGCAATGCAGCAACTAAGAACAAGACTAAAGGCTGCAGACTCACACACACACACACACACTCACACACACACTCACAAATAGCCTATATGGTCAGTTCCATAGCCACTAATGAAGAAGCTGAGGTGATGTCCTCAGTACTGTATTGTAATGTGGGGGTTTTAATGACATGAGGAGAAATGTACCTTCTAAAAACACACGGTGGGTTTTTCAAAATCATTTTTGGGTGTTTTTTTAAACCTTTTTTAGAAAGCCTACTGTAGAGAGATGACAGTAAAACAAAAAGGGAGACAGAGACGGGGAATGGCACTGTGGTTCATGTTGGTTGCCTTAACTTCTATGCCACCACTTGTGGTTAGGTTTTTAAGGCTTATTCAGGTACCGTTCACTATGCTAGTAGTTTGACTTTAGGGATGGCGATGTCTGTCAGTCAGTTGGTCGGTTGATCAGTCGACTACTTTGGTCCAGACTGAAATATTTTATCAATATGTGGATGCATCACCATGAAATTTGGTGCAGATGTTCATGTTACCCTCAGGATGACATAACCACATAATTACAGCAAAATTTTAATATGTCAAGTACTATGGTTTATGACCAAATACTAGCAAAACTTAGGACGTTCCCTTCAGCCTCAGCTGTACTTCGTGTTTTGTGCAAATCAGCAAATGTTAGCACGCTAAAACGCTAAACTAAGGTGGTGAACATGCTGAACATCATACATGCTAAACATCAGCATGTTAGTGTTGTCATTGTGAGAATGTTAGCATGCTGGTGTTAGCATTTAGCTCTGTGCCCAAGAGCTGCTAACATGGCTTTTTATAGACTCAATATTATATCATTAACAACAAATTATAAAAGAAAATTAATTGAAATATATATATATTAAAAAATATTACATTGAAACAGCCTGTAGACCATCACCAACACAGAACATTTTCTGGCAAATCCAAATATTTTTCATGTGTGTGTGGTTGCATTGAGGAATTGTTCTTCAAGATATCAGTGGTTAAAAATCCTGGCTACAGCTCCTGCATTACCAGCTTGACATATTGACATACAACCTAACTGCCTGCATACGGGCCATATTCCCTGTTTGCCTGACCACAAAGCATATTTGCCCATATTTCACTAAGCACTCCTCAATTAGTTAACAGCACAAGGATTAAGGATAGATTTGACAGTGCAGTGCTGCAATCTGCTGCTGAGTCTCTGAGAGGATCAGAGAAACAGACAGCAACGCATCTGTTTCCCCACTTTTTATTTTTTATTTTTATTTTTCTCTTTCTTCTCTCTCTTCATGTATCTTTCTTGTCACCCCCACCCCAGAGCGAGAGAGGAAAGCAGCATCAATCACAGTTAACTGACTGACCACTGTCTGTTGGTGGTACTAAATGGATCTCCACAATTGAATAGAGGCCTAAGTGTGTGGTAAATGCTCTCAATGGGTAAATGAATTTGCGGGTTAACTCGTTCTAAGAGCGTTTAGATAAGGCAAAATAATAAAAACACCTAAAGCAGATATTTTTCTTTTGATATATTGAAAACAAAGTTCAGATGAAAATCTTAACTCTCACATTCATCACTGCAGGCCAGCTGGATTAAAGAGAAAAGCACCCGGAGTAACCCAAAGACAATTCAGCTTTATTTTCCTCATATAGATTTGACTGTACACAGTTCATACCATTACACAGAAGGCATAAATGAATAAATTCAGTGCTCTCTTTTACATCTTTTTCAAAGACACATGGCAATAATAAATAGCGCTCATGAAACAAGACGATCAACACGTTTTTCAAACTGTACAAAATTTACAACAATTAAGATGCAAACTTCTGAGGCAACACAGATTTAACAAAACTGTAGTGGTAATGCATTTGTACAGGATTTTCACTCAACACTATGAATTACAGCCTGCAATTTACACTGTAATTATTTGGACATATAAGGTACCAATGAAACACTTACTGGGTATCTAACTTTATGTACAAGGGCTGAATACAGAGAATAAAGGGGTAACCAACTTGCATTTAGGGGGGGGCGTAAAAGTGAATTATACTATAAATATGATTTAAATTACCTGGTACATGTTTAATAATCACAGAGTACATACAGCAGACCAAAAGGCTTGGCCTGTATGACATTTTACAACAGCTAAGTCATGTAAAACGAATCTTTTAATCTCCAGCAACAACAATAATGGTCACTGCACTTCAACTTTTAAATCCTTTTACACTGTTAATTCCCAAAGTTATAAGTTTATTGTTATTCTAAAATAAATGATACCACAACCAATGTCAAATATGTGAAATATCAACACCGTTTTCCAAGTTGTCCTGCGTTGTCATCTACTAATAAAATGATTGTACTCCGTAAAACAGATACTAGTAATTCAAAAAAGTGTAATTTAAGTGGGAAATTTAAATCATAAGTCCCTCCTAAGCACAAAGTTGTCGCCCCTTTATTCCCTCTCTTATCTTCTTTTCCTGTACCTACATATTAATCCCAGTGTAGTTACACAGTAAGTATAAGTATTTCATTGATAGCATATATTCAGTTAATAATTACACTGTAAAATATGGGCTGTACTCCACAGTTTTTAAAATTGTCTTAATGGTTTTCGCTTTCTGTTTGTTGATTTGCTTTCTGGCTCTGAAATATGATGCTCTGGTAGAAAAAGACTTGGCAATTTCCTGGGAAAAGGTGACCAAATAGATAAGATTTTGATTTCTTTTCATCAACAGACAAACAGAAACAGCAGTGAAGATATGATTCTGGTGATGTGTTTTTAAGTAAACCTTCCCTCAGATCAAAATAGACACTGGCTTTTATATGGTCAACAGGTCAAATCAACCTGTTTCCTCTTATAGCTCAAAGAAAATTTAAATTTCAACAGAATCAGACACAGGGGCTCTAGTCATCTCCTGTGTCCTATTTTGTCGGTCAAGATGCAGCTGATGTGGCCTGAACTGGAAGAAACAGATCAGCCCAGCAGACATGCCAACACTGATGCTTCAGTGGAGTATCAGCCCTGTATGTTGGGGGTGGGGGGTGGGGGGGAGTGGGGGGCTGTGGGGGCTCTGTGGTAATCCTCTGACATGGAGGCCAGGCAGTGGGAGAACAGGCTGACAACACATCTGGGGTCAGTAAGTAGGATGATAGCAGGCAAAGCTAGAGCTCTGCTGGACTGAGTAGATTACCAAGAGCTTGGATCAGACTGACAAAACAGAAGAGCTGACACACAGAGACTTTTTCTCATTGTTTCTGCTAATACTTGTCGGTGTCGGTTTTGAAAGTCAAATAGATGCTTTATATTTGTGTAACCATTTAATTTGCTCAATTATATCTGCAAAGGATTCTGCATGTCTTATGAATGTATATCTCCTTGTCATACATCTGTGCATTCAAAAGAATAAATTAATAATTTAGATGTGTGATATATTACTAGAATATCTTGACTGTCATCCAACACTTAAGCTTTGAATCCTGGTGAGTCTGGAAACAGATAATTTAATACTGACAGACGTCCGCTCTCAGACAGCTTTTACACAGACAAGAACAAGTCAAGCACCTATAAATATAGAAGAGAGACCTGCTGTGTAGGAAACAGTGTTCACCCTCAGTCAAACAGAGGAGACATCGACTTTTTCTACGGACAGACGGACGAATGGACGGACAGACCATCTACTTCCTAATAACTTGTAAGCTTCAGCAATACATTAAAAAACATCAGCATGGTTCAAAATTCACACTTGTGCCACTGTTCTTGTAAATCTCTCTCCCAATGAAACACTGTGTTTTTGCCTTGTGCATATGTCTCTCACCTTTTTCTCTCTTTTTCCTCTGCATTCCTGTCCATATGTGTAGAAAAAGAGGAGGAGAGTAAAGTGCATTGCCAATGTAAAGGCTTCAATATGGCCAGATAGCAGTCCTACTCATTTCTACTTATGAATCAGAAGCATGCAGGTGCCTCCTGGATCTCATAGGGACTTTGATCTAGATTGTAGCCCTAATGTAGCTGTTAGACAGGGATGGTTTATTTTGGGGGATGAGACAATATTACCTCTCCTGTGAGCGTAATCCACCGACATATTGGAAATCCAGTCTCATTTTCAGAGAGTGAAAGAACAAAATAAAGTCAGGTGATAAGAAAAGTTGTATGACACAGTGTTGAGACTGAACATTCAGTGGTGTGGAGGTGTTCTTCACTGCTTTTCTCCGGACTACACATCTCGACCCGGCCGTTACCTCACTGTTACGACTGCTGAGAGACTGAGAATCACACTTCTTCTCTTCCTTCTGCTCTTCACCCAACATCACAAAACATATCAGTCTTGGAGGGTGATAGAAAGAAATGTAAAAAGCCTTGTGAGTCTGTTTTGTTGTATCCCCACAGAGATCTTCTAACGTGTTCGAGACTCAAAACTGGGAATGGTCCATCTCGTCCAGCCATGAGGCGGGGCTGGTGGGGAAGTCGGGGTATCCTGTACTGCTGCCCGTAGAGAGGTCTGAGGTGGGTCCCCCTGCCATAGCCCTCAGAGCCTGCCCCACCCCGCCCGGCCCGCCCTGCGCCACCAGACTGTCCATGTTGAAGCCAAGGTTGTTGAGGAGAGGGGTGTGGCCGGGCAGAGAGGTGATGGAGGACGGCGACTGAGGGAGACCGTAGGGGCTCCCTGCTCGGATGTCGTGGTAGGTCTGGCCTGTCGCATCGACAGAGAAGCCACCGTTCAGCACCGCACTGTTGGTCACGTCACCGACGCTCCCATAAAGCCCGTTGGTGTGGCCGAGATCTGACAGGACCTGGTCATCTGGGGAGGAGACACCAACACTTAGGATGAGGTGTGTAAAAACTTTGACACATGAACAGTGCTGTCAACTGCGTGAACATTATATAGTTGTTATCTTTCAATACAGTTAAGTGCTTTTATGAGTGAGATTTATTGTGGCAATGTTATGTGGATTTCATGGAGGTACAGTAAGTGGACTGGGCAATGAGGTATTTCATAAGCGTTTCAGTTTTTGTTGGTGAGAAAGGATGTGCTTTATGTTCTTTGCTAACAAAGGAGGTCTATATGTGTGCAATTACCGCAGTACAAAATATTTGTTTCCATCTCTCCCCTCTCACTCCCATGGGTGGCTTCAATAACAACAAAGCCCCAGAGCACTTTCTCTCTAATTGACTAAAAGCCTCACATGCTTTATAGAGTTTCTGTCACCATGTTTTCATTTCTCATAAAAATGGCCTTCTTTTTAAAAGTGGCTTGAAGACTTTTATGACTACCCAAAACGGGGTTTGCGAACATTAAATAACATTGGGATGTCTAAAATGTCGTTTGCATCCCACTAAGGACCCTGTCTCTTTTCCAATAAGCTCCATCATGGCGACAAACAGAGGCAGGAGGATGCGTCAGCGGCCACGGGGAGGTGTGAGGGGAATGTGAAATGAGAATGCCATTTTGGATTTGCCTGAGAATGACACCATGCATTTAGTAACACAAGGAAAACAAATTAAATGCCACCAAGATGCATTCAATTGCTGCTGCACTCTTGTCATTTAGCAGCTTGTAGGCTTCCTTAATCCCATTAGAACGACAGCATGACTGACAATTCCCTTTCAGGAATCTCGCTTTTTACCAATAACAGATATGTACTGGGTTGAAGTTATCCACACAGCAGGTACCTCTGAAGCTCAGTTCGCTGTCACTGAGTCCTGCGTCGTCAGCCGAGCTTTCCTTCTCCACTTTAGCTCCTCCTCTGCTGCGTTTGACACTTTTATAAAACTGAGTCCAGCGATGTCGACCTGCGTCCTTCTTCAGGCGCTTTTCCTTTGCTCGTCGGTTCTGGAACCAAACCTGACACAGATCATAATAGTTGTTATTAATTGATAATAATTACAAACACTGTGATAATTCAAAACAAATACTACTCCATCTAATAATAATCATCAGTTTCAGTTAAATCTGACTTTATTCGTTTTAATAAAATGTCAAATCTTTTTTTAAGCAAAATAACATTCATTTTTACCAAACAGTCTAAATGAACTGATTCTCAACATAAACCCAAAATTAATTATTAAATCAACAGAAAAAGCAACAAAACCATGGTAAGAAATATTCAAGCAGAGGAAAGGTCATTTAAAAAGGCTGAAAAACAATTGATCGAGATTATTACCTTAAAGTAAGTCTGTGAAACAGCTGTAAGAGGTGTTTCTATTGTGTATTTCTATCATCTTTGAAATAAAATTGAATCTCTTTAGTTCTTTGTTGTTTCAAACTCAAAAAGCCCCAATATCAAAGGCCCGAATGCTTGTTTTATATAATCTCTATTTATATTTAAAACAGTCTAAAGACTGGACTGAAGTAGCATTTTGTTTCTCTTTATTCTTTTAATGTTTGATGACTCACTAAACAAATCAGAGATTTGGGCGGCAAGTCAAAAGTCTAGACGAAGACTTATGTTTGTTATAAAACTTAATTCTTAATAATGGTAGCTAATTTAAACATGCACATATCAGGTGGATATGACGTTGTACTTATTTTATCAAAGCCAGAGATGTTTCAGATATTTTTGCATCAGTGTGAATAAGAACAAAACCTCTACCTGCACTACTCTCATGTCCAGCCCCGTCTCCGAGGAAAGCTGCTCTCTGACGTGGCGTGCAGGCTTCGGCGAGTTTTTGTAGGCACTTTTGAGGGTCTCCAACTGCTTGGCAGTGATGGTGGTCCTTGGTCGCTTGGTCCCAGCCTCCGAATCATCTAAAAACACCATTACCAACACCATTGTGAGCAACTTCTTCTTACATTAGTCACGTCACCATAACAGGCAGTGCCCCTCGGCCTTTGTGTTTAGTATATGTGTGTTAAATGGAGTGAATGGTCATGTATGGAAGTGTATTATTGTCCTTGTGCATCTGTCCCACTCCCACAGCAGAGGACATAAATCTACTCAGTGCCAGAGGAACAGAGTTATTGGGGCTGCACCGTAGAAGAGCATTGCTTAACTTTACATAATCAATCAGAGATGCATGGAAATCTAAGAAGAGAGGGAGGGAGAGAGACGGCACACACACCCAGACGATAAACAACATAGATCCACAGTCGGTAGTCATTTCACTCACTGCAGCATATACTGTGGCTTTATCTGTCATGTCCTCTACTGTGATTCCACAGCTATCTGATGTACTTAAGTCAAGACTCAGTAATTTCAACATCAAGTCACCTTTCTCTGACTGTGATGTTAATGGCTAAATAGTGAGTCGTATTTACTCAAACACATCTTTTTTCCTTCTTTTTATATGTTGTGTGTTTTATTATGAACAAAGGTTTACACCTGTTTTCATTTCTCCGAATTCTTGTCAACTGCTAGGACTTGCTGAATATTAACTTCTTTTGTTTTTGCTTCATATTTGGGATCCCTGCAGACCCACCGTTTTGTTTTGCAGTCTCATAATCCACCTTGCACACCAGCCTCCCATCCTCCATGAGGTAAAACTCGTCCCCAGTGGCCAGCTGTCGGCTGCACATGATGCAGGCGAAGCAGTGCAGGTGATACACAAAGTCCTGCGCCTTCCGCACAACCTGTGTCGGCGGGATCCCCTGTTGGCATGATGCACATTTTGTTCCAAAACGCCTGCAGGAAAACATGAAGAAGTGAGCTGCCATTAGGAAATTAGATGCAAAACACCAGCAGGGTAGACTGACATCCTTCTCCTATTTATATCCAATTTACAAGCTGACTGAGATAGTGAGACCAGCTGAGATTAAAATTTCACATGCTGGACAGGTATTTCTTCAACTGCAGCCAAGAATGATGGCAAAGTGTCTGTATTAATAGAAGCTGCAGCTGTTGTGGAGGGAGAAATCAGCACTGGAATGCATTTCTGTTAACGATAGACCTGTCCGCAGGTTGATGGATGGAGAGGATCAATGCACTGTGTGGGGTGTGTGTGTGTGTGTGTGTGTGTTTGCATGTTTATGTGTTTGCAGATGAAGTATTGAGAGCTAAAGAGGAGGAGGAGGAGGGGGAGGAGGAGGAAGAGGAAGAAGAGAAGAGGAAGAGGTAGGAGGAGGGGTGCTCACAGTAAACACACCCTGCGGAGGACCAATAAAACACTGACTCAGGAGAGGCTTTAAATCACACAACCAACCCACAGAAATAAAAAGAGCAAGGTGAAGCCTCCAAATCACTCCTGGGAAGTATGCACCAGTGAATCTGTGTGTCTATGTGTGTATATACATGTGTGCGCGCCCTCCGCTCCCACGTGTCCCTCGCCACAGTTTGAACATGCGAATGCCCCTGTGCTGTCCCCTGGGTCAGCTAACACAGTTACCTCTCTGTGAGACTCCAGAGCTCTTTAGGTCTCATTCAAGCTTTGAGCATTAAAACCTTTCAAACACGATTTAGTAAAAAGCCGGATCTGCTGATCCTGTTCTGGATAAAAGTCAAACTCAGTTTTCTTCTGTAATGTCTCAGAAATCCAATCGTTGAAAGAGAGAAAGAAAGAAAGAAAGAAAGAAAAAAAGAGCGAGCACTTGTTTTGAAATTTTGCTTTCTCTACTTATGTCAGCAGGAGAAAACAGTGACTATTCTGAAGACAAATTTGTCAGTGCAGAAACCTTAAAATAAATTTAAAATAAATTAGCATAGCATGGTGCCTTATTAAACTGAGATAGGCCTACATAATGGCATCCATTTGTAACTAAGCAGCAGACACAAAATCACGACAATTAGGAAAAAGGATGAATTAATTTAACTCAGGTAATGAATCCTAAATATTATTTGCCATAAAATTGTCAATTTCCCTGCTGTTTTGGTGCTTTGATGCAGAAATTAGATAGAGTTGGCAAAATATTTTACTGCGTCAAACTCAAACGTCAAATCGCCATAACCGGTTATTTTCTGCTTAGTTTCCTTACAACACGACATGACTTTTCAAAGCATAAAAAGGCAAATGCAAAAAGTCCCAGACAATAAGATATAAACGAACAACACTAGATTTAACTTGCGTGCGTTATTAGCAGTTTCAAAACAAGCTAACAGCTAGCATCTTTTTTTAATACCAAATAGACTATAAAGCTGAAGCTATTACTTTGTGAATATTTAATAGACGAATTATTTATATTTTTTGTCATATTTTTGCCAAGAACAGCCACTTTTAATCTCTTGGCAGCACAGTTGGTGAAAGTGACCCAAATATCAAAAATGTTCGCTTGTTTATTTTGGTTCAACTCGCTTGTTCGGATTTTATGAAGTAAAATGTGACGTCAGTCCATATTTGATCTCGCAGTTCAGGACAAGAAATCAATTAGTGTGTATTTTCTTTTTTTCTTTTTTTTTTTCAAAAATCCAGGTCAATTGAGAAAAGAAATGTATCTACAGCTCGTCACGGACACTAAAGCAATAGGAAAGCAAAGCAGAAGAGAAGGTACTGACTTGAAGAAATCCTCCTTGCAGTAGACGCCTCCTGCCCGGGAGAAACACTTGTCCGCCAGCGGAGTCTGACAGTCGGCGCACTTGAGGCACTTGGAGTGCCAGTGTCTGTCCAGCACCTTCAGGATGAACTTGTCCAGGATGTGCTGACTACAGCCCGCACACTGAGGGATCTCTGCGAGGGACAGACAGCAGCACAAGGTCACACTCACAGGTACAGCTCTGACCCTTAATATTCACGGAGAGAAACATGTGCACGAGAGCGTTCCGTTTTTGTTAGCCAGTGAAATCACAGCGGTGAAGATGGTGAATTTTTACCTCGCTCAAAATGTTTCTGAAGTGTGTTCCGCAAATAATAATAATAACATATCAAATCAGATACACTGATGGTTATAACACATTTTCTCTACATTACTGGACAAGTCAGTTTTATATTCGTGTTATTGTAGCTACTGTGTCTATAATGAAATTTAGAGATGCACGATAAGAAAAGTTTTGAAATATTTTACCACAGTTCTATTTATTAAAGGTTGTTTTTATTTTTGACCCGCTTTTACGTTGCTTTTTTTCATCAGGCTATTTTAAATTACGAAATAATTTCTCTTTGTTAAACAGTAAAAACATGTTTATTTGCTTTTGTATATAAGGCGCTTTGTGAACATGTTGGTCACTGTCCAAGGTGCTGAACATGTTTCCATACAGAAACTTTTCTGCTTCTCCTCTTGGTTTCACAGGAGATGTGGGAACCAGTTGAATCAGGATCAAAACGAGATTAAATGTAATTTTTTTTGGTTGTTAAAAAAACACAGCAGCAGCAGCAGCGGATCACATGTGCACATGCAAAAACATCATATTACCAAATTGTGGAGCGGCAACAACAATCTAACCCAACACCACAGTTAAACTGCTGACTTCAAAAAATGAAATCAAATGTATGAATCATCCGTAACAAAATACACAACACTTCAACTTTAATAAACCACCAAATTCCTCCATTTAGTCTATTTAAATAATGATTACATATGTTACCCCTGTACAGCAGCTGGTTTATTTTATCGGCACAGAAGTTTGTATTTTTGTCATAATTAAATGTCTCCTTTCCAGGCAACCAATGCGTGATTGATGGTGTGAGAAAAAAGCTTCGTCCTATCATCTAAAAATTAACAACACTGGCGATCTCTTTCGCCTTTAATCTTCCATTTTTACAATTTTTTTAGTTAAATATCCACATGATATCCTATAATTAAAAATCAATATCGAGGTAAAGTGGCCAGAGCAAACGTCAGAAAACACCGGTATAAACACGCACACACGCACACACGCACACACGCACACACACACACACACACACACACACACACACACACACACACACACACACACACACACACACACACACACACACTGTCCAAAGAAAACATCTCGGCCGTGAAATCATCTGACAGTAAAGCTGAAGAAGCCTAATGCTTGGTCTCATCTGAGGAAACAGTCTGCAAAACAAAGCTCCCAGCTTCTGCAACATGGACCTCACAGCAGCACGCACGCACACACACGTGGACACGGACGTTTTATAGTCTTTAAAAATGCATGTTCAACCCTTGAAAATATAGATTATGGATATTATTTTTGGATAATGTTTGCATTACATTGATTTCAATTTGGGACAGATGTAACTAAAAGGAAATACATTTTAACGGGTCAATTAGCTCAGTGAAAACTGATTAATATTTTGATCAGCTTGTAGGAAAAAACAGGAATAAAAAAGAACTTGCAGAAAATATTCAGTGCATGTTGACTTTAGCTGGCAGCATGAAACCACCAAAGAAAAGCGATGCACACAATAAACAGACACAGGCTGCACTGGCTCTGTTTCCCCTCAACACTGAGTCAATTCTTACTGAGATGATAAAAGAAAGTGGAGAAATTATTTAGGCGATCTGGATTTATCTGTGACCGGGCCTTTTTTTTTAAGTAGGCTATCTGGACATAAAGCGATGGATGAAGCTGAACGAGAAACCGGTTTATAGAGACAAGTGGTGCTGAAAGGAAAGCAGCACGATTCTTGGCAACGACAGAGGGTCCACAGTCCAGCTCCGGAGTGTGTGTGTGTGTGTGTGTGTGTGTGTGTGTGTGTGTGTGAGAGAGAGAGAGAGAGAGAGAGAGAGTAAACCTCGTGTATTCAAGAGCTCTTCTTCATATCTCGGTATCTGTTGCCACCACTCTCCACTCAGTCTCATCACCTCCGTCATTTCACACAGGAAGTGAAACACATTTTCAAAGATCAAGCCAAACTGCTTTAACAGGGTTTTTTTCAGAGGTGCAGTTTGGCAGCCTCTCCTATTTTCAATTGTCAAATGATTTGTGTTAATTAAACGTGAAGTAAACACTTTATATCCCAGACTAATAGCCTGCAGGTTAAGGTTTGGGTGTAATTGCCCTGAGTCAGCAGAGCACTCTGTCCATGATATTAAAAAAAATGTTTAAATAAATTCTCTGTTGCTTTTATTCATGGAATAATCCAGGTTTAAGTCCAGGGTGAATGCTGGCGCTGCAGGGAGCTGAGTGGCAGGATCTTTATCCAATCTTTTAATCTGCTTCGATTTATAAAATTAAAGAGCATAAGCCGACCACATATAGGCTATTTTCCTTTAGTCAGGTTTAAACACTTTGCTGAGCAGCCTGGGACTCTGAAATAACACATACCACATCAAAAGGTCATCCTGTTTCACCTGCATTTTTGTTTTCCGATGGGTTACAAGAAGAAATTATTATTATTATTATTATTATTATTATTATTATTATTATTATTATTATTATTATTATTATTATTATTGTTATTATTTGGAGGCCAATTATGTCAGAATTGACCCTCAATATTAAGAGCTACATGAAGGAACTCTTTCATTATCAGAGTTTTGAAACCAAGAAGCAGCGGAGTAATTATCTCATAGTATTATCCCATTTTGTTGTGGATTATTTTTTGGGGAGGTGCAGCCTGTTACACTCGGTCCATCTGTACATTTCGCTAACTCGCCTATAAATAATTAGGTCAGAGCAGAAATGTATCTGATTGCACTTCTCTCTTGGTTGCTCGATCAGATTATAAAAGGCCTGGTACAGATTAACACGCCGGGACGAACAGATGTAAGATAATTCTCGCCTTTGATGCTGGAAGGTAAAAAAAAAAAAAAAAACCCCAAACAGCTACAAGATGCTGATAAAAGTAACTGAAATAATTGCTATAAAATATTTAGTCCAATAAATAATGGCACTAAGACGTACAATGTTCTGCAAAAGGGCCTGCAACATTCCTATAGTGCCCAAGGATGGCGTCTTTGCGGGTTGATCCTCACTATACTCCCGGAGAAAAAATACATCAACAAAACTAGTTAAGATTATTATAGTTATTGATTTAATTCTCTAGACTTTCGGCCCTCCTCACCAACCTCAACTTCTGCTGGCACTGATCCTCCCGTCAGGGTTGTTGGTCTTTCACAGGACGCGAGCTTACCCAGGCAGCTGTTAATATTGTAAAAGGAGCCCTGCATGGTCAACGGTGGAATGCAGACGCAAGTTTGTCATCGAACCCATAGACAATACAACCTGAACTTTGACTGAACAACTTCATCCACTGATCAACAATATCTGGTGACTCTTCATCTTTCCGTTTTTGGTCTCTGGAGTAAGGCCTCGGTGATGACTTAGTGTTTATATGTTAATTAACAAGCAGAACATATTGGTTAGTGCCATTTATTTATTGGGGCAACTAAATGTTTATTAGCTAGCAATTATTTCAGTTATTTATCAGCATCTTTGTGCTGTTTTTCTTTTTTTTTTTTACCTTCCAGCATCAAAAGGCGAAATTACTCTTAACACTCTGTTCGTCCCGGGTGTTAATCTGTACCAGAAGGCCTCTTTTAGTAATCTGATGCGAGCAACCAAGAGAGAAGTGCAATCAGATACATTCTGCTCTGACCTAATTATTTATAGGCGAGTTAGCCGAAATGTACGCGATGGCGAGCCGAGTAGTAACAGGCTGCACCTCCCAAAAAATAAATCCCACAAAATGGGATAATACTATGAGTACATAATTAACTCTCCGCATGCTTCTCTAGTGGTTTCAAAACTTTGATAATGAAAGCAGTTCCTTCATGTATGCTCTTAATATGTGAGGGTCAATTCTGACATAAGTTGGCCTCCAAAATAATAAAATAATCAATAATAATAATAACAATAATAATAATAAATAAATGAAATAATTAATAATAATAATAATAATAATAACACTTTACATTCGTCTCGGTACAACCCATGCGGATGAACCCATCGGAAACAAAAATGCAGGTGAAACAGGATGACCTTTTTGATGTGGGTATGTGTTATTTCAGAGTCCCAGGTGCTGCAGCAAGTGTTTAACCTGACTAAAGGAAAATAGCCTATATGTGGGTCGGCTTATGCTCCTTTAATTTTATAAATCGAAGCAGATTAAAAGATTGGATAAGAATCCTGCCACTCAGCTCCCTGCAGCGCAGCATTCAACCCATGGACTTCAAACCTGGATTATTCCATGAAATAAAAGCAACAGAGAATTTATTTAAAAACATTTTTTTTAATATCATATGGACAGAGTGCTCTGCTGACTCAGGGCAATTTACACCCAAACCTTAACCTTGCAGGCTATTAGTCTGGGATATAAAGTGTTATCACATTCAACTTTAATTAACACAAACACTTTGACAATTGAAAATAGGAGAGGCTGCCAAACTGCACCTCTGAAAAAAACCCTGTTAAAGCAGTTTGGCTGTGATTTGTGAAATGTGTTGTATTCCTGTGTGAAATGACGGAGGTGATGAGACTGAGTGGAGAGTGGTGGCACAAGAGTAGATATGAAGAAGAGCTCTTGAATACACGAGGTTTACCTCTCTCTCTCTCTCTCTCTCTCCTCTGTCTCTCCGTTCTCTCTTCTCTCTCTCTCCTCTCTCCTCTCTCCACACATCACACACAACACACACACACAACACACACACAATCACTCCGGAGCTGGACTGTGGACCCTCATGTCGTTGCCAGAAGATCGGTGCTGCTTTGCCTTTCAGCAGCCCTTGCTCTCTATAAACCTGTTTCTCTCGTTCAGCTTCAATCCATCGCTCTTATCTCAGATAGCCCACTTAAAAA